GCAAAAAAAAAAAAAAAAAAAAAAAAATCTGTAAAATGCCTGTCTTGGGCTTACCCTGTGTCTATGGAATGCCAACTATTGTTTAGGGAAAAACTGCTTATCCATGCAAATATAAAACACCCATGCCCTTTTTTAGTAACGGAATTTAGATAACTAAGCTACCATCATGGGAAAAAAAATAAAATGTTTTCCTTAACTGGGTTGTTTTGCCCTTTTCTGCTGAACACACTTATATCCAGGTCCATTGGTTAAGACATATATACATAAACAAAATTTCATATTTTTCAAATTATGGCCAAAAGACTAGGAAGGTTTGCTTACAGAGCAAGTCAGAAATATTTGTAAAGAGTAACTTGGAATGCAGGAAAACAAACATTGAAAGAAGGCTTTCAAAAATAACAATTCATTATAGAAGTAAGAGCTGAAAGATATGAACTGAGGAACATAAAACAAACAGCATTTGTATAATAACTGTTGATATTTATAATATTCACATGTGAAAAGATGGAAAATACGTAAAATAAAATGCCAACTAGTTAGTTGAAAAACCAGTTTAATTTTCCTTGTGTTCATTTAAACTTCCTTCTCTTCTCTATGACAGTCTGTATTTCTGTTCCTCTGAGAATTCCCTCTTTTCTAATGACTCTGCTCCCACCTCAATCTGGCTTGAAAGTTAAAGACTTAAAAATGAGCTGCTGGATGTAGAGAATGGACTTGAGGACACGGGGAGGGGGAAGGGTAAACTGGGACGAAGTGAGAGAGTAGCATTTACATATATACACTACCAAATGTAAAACAGATAGCTAGTGGGAAGCTGCTGCATAGCACAGGGAGATCAGCTCAGTGCTTTGTGACCACCTAGAGGGGTGGGATAGGGAGGGTGGGAGGGAGACGCAAGAGGGAGGGAATATGGGGATATATGTACACGTATAGCTGATTCACTTTGTTATACAGCAGAAACTAATACACCATTGTAAAGCAATTATACTCCAATAAAGATGTTAAAAAAAAAATGAGCTGCTGGTATCTATTCTCTTCTAAAGATGTAATTATTGTGACTACAGTCACCAAAAAAAAATGGTTTCTTATTCTCTTACTATGTGATAAAAGAATATACCATATTTCCCTCTTTTAGACCCAAACAATGCCATATTATGGGCAAAATTTTGAAATGATAGAGTGAAATTCTATGGTAAATGAATTATTGAATACCAAAACCAAACAAATACTTAAGAGGACACATGAAATCATTTCAATAGACACATGAAGCTTATTTTGAGTGTTATACAAAATTATCCAAGTAGTATGGTCAACATAGATAATCTATCATATATGACTCAAACCATATACTTCTGCATTAGGAACCCTGATATCCTGTTTAGCTGTCTATATCGTAACATACTGAACCATTGCCAAATCATTTCAGTTTGTGTTGTGTAAAATAAGTCCTACTCTCTACAATACTAGACTATAGTTTTGGTTTCTTCAATTTTTTCCTCCAGGTTCTGTGTAACTTACATGTAGACAAATGCTATCTGACATGTTTTTTCTCAATGTCTAGTGGTAAAGATGGTTCAGATTTTTCTAGTGATGCGTATTGTTTTCTTTTAAACATATGCATTAATACGTATAAGTACATTAAGCCAAATAAAATCAACTTGAAAATGAAAACCAAAATATGTACTTGGTAAACACACTGGTTTGCTTAAATGAAATACTAAAATATTTTGCTATTTTTTCAAATGTTAATCTGCAACCAATTTAACCTATCCTAAATTCTTTAATGTGATTATTTATTCAAAATATTTTTAAAAATTGTTTTATAGGCTTATAGAATGTTTTACAAAAATCTCTGTCTGCTTTCTTTAAATGTTATCCTAGCATAACCATAGAATAGAAAATGTGGTTTGTGGGTCTGGATTGTTTCCGTTTCATATTCTCTACATATAATTATTTTAGAACACTATTTCAATAGGCAATTTTGACAAGCAGAGTAATAGAGACAGTTGGCATAAGTGTGGCAGCAAACCCACTACATTCCATGTGTAATGTAACCATGCCTTTCAATTCTCTTTTTGTGCCACCTACTGAAAGTGTGACTTTGGACAAGTTATTTAAAAACTCTAATCCTCAGTTTCAGTTTCCTTTTCTGTAATATAGGGATAACAGTAGTACTTCATAGGATTGGCTGGAAGGTTAAATGAGTTAAATCATGTCTAGTGCTAAGCGTAATATCTAACCTATAGTGAACATTCCAAGTTAACTATTATTTTTAACATAGTTTTCATGCGGCTAATTTTAATCAAATTCTCTAATGGGTTTTTCTCACAAATAATAAAATAGCATCAAGGCTCGTGTCAGTAATATAAAACTGCCCATGTTTTAAGTAATGCAACGATACATTGTCATCTTTTTGTTACAAAACACAAGAATTCAGCATCAGAAAGATAATTTCCATGTGATGGAGGGCAATAGATCAAGCAACCTAAATTATCTTCCCAAGGAGTTGTCTGCAAATTTCCACTTTCCTTATCATGCTGATGCCAGGTATTATGCTGCTGCATATTCAAAGTTCTGCCACAGTATAGACAAAATATTTGCCTTTGATTCCCATTTGGTTTTGACATGAGGTCGAAATTTCCAAATTACTTCCCTCAGTACTAATCCTGAGCAAAACTAGTCATGGAAGGAGGAAATACAAGCAATAAAAGAATAGCCCACTCTACAGTGTACTACTTCCTTATGCTAGTTTATCTAATTTAATTTCCAAATGCTCAGCTTTTTCCACAAGAAAACACAAATCGTGTAT